TTTAATATTTATTTATTTATTTATTTGGTTGTGCTGGGTCTTAGTTGTGGCAGGCTGGCTCCTCTGCTGTGGCATGCGAACTCTTAGTTGAGACATGCATGTGGGATCCAGTTCCCTGACCAGGGATCGAACCTGGGCCCCCTGCATTGGGAGTGCAGAGTCCTAACCACTGTACCACCAAGGAAGTCCCTGTAAGGCTTTTTTACAAAGAGAACAGTTCATCGGTTAAGAGCACACACTCTGTCTCGGTTTAAATCCTGCTTTGCTGAGTGATTTGGGGCAAGATATCAAATCTCTCTATGCTCTAGGGTCTTACCTAGAAAATGGGGCTAACAGTAGTACCTTCCTCCTAGGGTTGTTAAGGGTATTCAATAAATTAAGAAATGCAAAGCACTTATCTAGTACATGTAAACTCTCTTCAAGCATTCACTATCATTTTTAAACATTTTTTTTTTTTGCGGTACGCGGGCCTCTCACTGTTGTGGCCTCTCCCGTTGCGGAGCACAGGCTCTGGACGCGCAGGCTCAGCAGCCATGGCTCAAGGGCCCAGCCACTCCGCGGCATGTGGGATCTTCCCAGACCGTGGCACAAACCTGTGTCCCCTGCATCGGCAGGTGGACTCTCAACCACTGCGCCATCAGGGAAGCCCATTCACTATCATTTTAATTATTCCTTGTAGAAGCAATTTCTATTAAAAGCTAGATCCCTAGTACTTAAGTAAATTTCCATGGGTTTACCAGTATAAACATCTTTATAAACTTTTAATGTGTTTTAAATTTTATAATGAGCAACCTCTATCCCGGCCATTACTCTATCTAAAAATATTACTATGTTTTTAGAGCCTAAGTTCTGAGGACTGCTTAGGATAAAGTCCTGGCTCTACCACTAACTCATGTTAACTTGGGCAAGTTTCTTACTCTCCCTGTGCCTCAGTTTCCTTTTCTAAATGGATTACCTAATAAAGTTATTGTAGATGTAAATGAGTTTATACATGTACAGATTTACAAGAGTACAAACAGTAAGCACTCAATAAAGCTAACTGATATTACCAAATATTGAGTATAATGCTCTCAAACTGGTAAAAGTATACCTATCTTTTTAAGACCTTTGATTAATATTCCCAAGTTGCTTTCCTAAAAGGCCTACTCACACAAACAATTCATAGAACACAGGGTTCACCACATTCTTAATAGGTACAACTATTAAAAATTCCTTTTGCTTATTTGATACAAATATAACCACCCATTATTATTTGGTTTGCATTTTAAAAATTACTAGCAGGGTCAAATATTTTCCCTTTTTATTTACTAGTCATCTCCTCTTTCATCTGTCCATGTCTTTTGTCCATTTGTCAACTGAAGTTTAAAATTTTATTCTATTTTATTTATTTTAGGGTTTTAAAGATATTAATCCTTTGTCATATTTTCTACAAATTTATCTTTCTTTTTTGCCCTTTTGAAATGAATAAGTTAAATATTTTTTTGCAGAATCAAGTTTGCCTTTCTTTCAATGTGATTTCTTCTAACACTTCAAATTTAGAAAGTCTTCACTAGCCAGGACAGTCATTTCTCTAATTTTTTAAACAGCTTAACTGACTTTAAAAAAACAGTTAACTGGGCTTCTCTGGTGGCGCAGTGGTTGAGAATCTGCCTGCCGATGCAGGGGACACGGGTTCGAGCCCTGGTCTGCGAAGATCCCACATGCCGCGGAGCAACTAGGCCCGTGAGCCACAGCTACTGAGCCTGCGCGTCTGGAGCCTGTGCTTGGCAACGAGAGAGGCCCGCGCACCACAATGAAGAGTGGCCCCCGCTCGCTGCAACTAGAGAAAGCCCTCGCACAGAAATGAAGACCCAACACAGCAAAAATAAATAAATTAATTAATTAAAAAAAAAGTTAACTATCATTAATTAAACTGGAATTTGTTTTGATAAGTGCTATAAAGCAATGATCTAAATTAAGTTTTCTTCTCAAAAGTTATCAATTGTGTCAATACCATTTACAGAATTATCTTTTTCTTCCTTATGGATTTGACACTGTTGAGAAAATAACCTGAAGATAATATAAAACATGCAATTTACTGATAAAAACTTCCGAAGGTTATAAATCTCCACACATAAACTTTAACACGTCAAAAATTAATTTGTAGAAAAGTCTTTTTATGAAACATTTGTCTCTACTATTATACATATATGAATTAATGATATTATTTTTGTTGAAAACACAGAAATATGGGTACTTGAATTTAAAAAGAGAAGTTTCCTCTATGAATTGGGCACATTTCATAGTATGAGAGAAAGGAGATCTATAATGGAGAGAATATGACCAGTAACAAATTAAAATAGCATGTGACTAGTATTTTTTAACCTTTTCAAAAGTGATCATATACATATCTGTTTTATGTTCATAACAAAGTAGCCCAAGTATTTTTTCAGATGTAGAAAGTGAAACATAAAATTTTTTAATGAGTGTGATTTTCAATTTTAAATGACTACCAAGTAGCAATTATAATCAGTATTCAGATCTTTTAACTCTTGGTCAGGGTTTCATGAAAATACAAACAAAACACTACTATAACCAACAATGGTTAAACAGCAACCTCTTTCTCTCCTGCTTTCTCATCCCCCACCCCCCTTCTTTTATTGGATCGCTTCTTCCAGCCTATAACGATACTGGTCTGTTTCCCCTGAAAACTCTGCTCTCTTGACTCCAAATCCTGCTCTGCTACTGCTTCAAGGGCTACTTTCCCTTTATAGTCAAGCTCCAAGACAAAGTTGTCCATAGCACCTGTCTCCAATTTCTCATCTCACTCTCTCTCTCTCTTTTTTTGCCAGCACTGCACGGCTTGCAGGATCTTAGTTCCCTGACCAGGGATTTGAACCCAGACCACGGCAGTGAAAGTGCCAAGTCCTAACCACTGGACCGCCAGGGAACTCCCTCATCTCATTCTCTCTTGATCCACTTCAACTGATCTTCTGTCCTTACTATTCTCCTTCAACTGCTCCTGTTAAGGTCACCAAGGACCTCCACCTTGCTATAGCCTATTTCTTGGCTCTGATCTTACTTGACCTATCAGAGGTACTGAACACAGCTAATGACTATTTCCTGATACACTTTCTTCACCTGGCTCTAGGATATTATGTGCACCTAGTTTTTCTCCCTCCACACTCACTGTTCTCTCCTAATTCCTTTGCTGGTCATCTCCTTAGTCTCTAAATGTTGGAGTGCCCAGGGCTCAACCTTTGAACCTCTTTTCTATCTTCACTTACTCTTGTGATGATACCATTTGGTCTCACAATTTATAAATCCATGTGTATATTAACTTCCACATTTATATCTTCAGCCTAGACCTCTCCTTGAATACCAGACTTTGAGCACAATTCCCTTCTCAACATCTCCACTTAGATGTCTTACAGGCATCCCACAGCCATCATGTCCAAAACTGTACTCCTAATCTTTCTCCTCAAAGCTGCCCCTCCCAGACTTCCCATCTCTATGAAAAGTAATAACAATTTTTGTTTGTTTGTTTCCTCTGGCCCCAAACCTTAACAGTCATTCTTTGTTCATCTCCTTCTTTCATATATTGTTATCAAACCATCAGCAAATCCTACTGTACCTATCTTCAAACTAGAACCTGACCCCTTCTCACCACCTCCATTGCTATCATTTTGGTACTACCCACAATTCTATATCTGGATTACTGGAATAGCCTCCTAACTATTCTGCTTCTACCCTTTCTGCTTTACAGTCTACTCTCAACACAGCAACCAGGGTGATTGATCTTTTTAAAATATTAGTCTTATACTGTCACTCTTCCTGCTCAAAACCCACAAAAGACTTCCCATCTCCTTCAGTTTAATAACTTAAACTCCCTATATGAGCTGGTCCCATAATAACTTCTTTGGCCTCATGTCCCACTCCTTGTCCCCTTGTTCACTCTACTCCAGGTACACTGGCCTTCTTGCTGTTCCTCGGATATGCCAGGCATGCTCTTACCTCAGGGTTCCTGCCCTTGCTGCCACTCTACACGTAACATTCGTCTCTCATGTAGCTGCATGGCTCATCTCCCCACTCCTTTTGGTATTTGCTCCAATGCCACCATTTCAGGAAGCATTCTCTGACCTGATATTTAAAACTCTTAACCATCTCCTCCCACCAAAAGCGCTCCCTCCCCTACTTTAGTTTTCTTCATGCCATCCAATCACTACTTCACATTTCATTGTTCTGTTTATTTAATATTTGTCTTCTTTCCACTAGTATGTAAGCTCCATGAGGGCAGGGCTTTTGTCTGCTCTATCCTCTGAACAATGCCTGGCATCTTACTGTTGCTCAATATATACTGTAAGCAAATAAATGAAAAATCAAAGGAAAAACCGAATAAATGGTGACATAAATGTCAACACAGGGTTGGTAAGTAGATTTCATCTTGAATGACAACTGCAAATGGTTGGCAATAGCTGCATGAAACAATGTGTAGGGGATTCTGAGGCCTCGTAAGCTAAAGGGAAAAGACAGCATGACTGACTATCAATAAGACATTCTGGTCTTCACCACCCCAGCATTAATATAAAACTATGTCAGGTGACAAGTTAAAAAGAGAGAGAGGGAGAAACTAGTTCACCGTACACTTAAGTATAATTATGTTCTGCAAGGTTCTTCACACCGATTTTGTTAGCAAAGACTAGTAAACAGAAAATGATTGAGTGACAGGTTAAGCAAGATTAATGAAAAGCTATGCTTAAATGTAATTAGTGAATAAAGACAAACAGTATTTCAGAGTGTGTCAGAGGCTGTCTTTTACCTTTTTGAAAGTAGGCCTACTTTGAGAACTATTTAAAACATCCTTCTTACCTGTTCTTTAGTAATACATATATTGTATAACTCCTAAAAATTTTACCTGTATCTACTAAGGAAAAAAATTTAATAGTTGCTAATCATACAATCCTTTCACCATTACAGAATACATTATTTCTCAGGATTAATTATGAACTCATGGCACTTACATTCTGTTTCATGCTTATAGGCTCCTAAGGTAAGCTGACGAGATGTTGTTAATAATTGTTGCATCATTGCTGTTGGGTCTTGAAATATCTAATGGAAGAGAATGAAAAAAAGCCCAATAATTGCAAAATCTACAGTTTAAAATGTTTTAAAAACTCTCATTATAAAATCTTCTTACGGGCTTCCCTGGTGGCGCAGTGGTTGAGAGTCCGCCTGCCGATGCAGGGGACACGGGTTCATGCCCCGGTCCGGGAGGATCCCACATGCCGCAGAGCGGCTGGGCCCGTGAGCCATGGCCGCTGAGCCTGCGCGTCCGGAGCCTGTGCTCCGCAATGGGAGAGGCCACAACAGTGAGAGGCCCGCGTACCGCAAAAAAAACAAAAAAACAAAAAAACAAAATAAAATCTTCTTACCATTTCATCATAGAACTCTGAAACCACTGTCTTTTTTCCCAGCATTGCATTGGTGTCTGATTGAAATAGCTTTAATAAGTGATACAGGGTTACCTGTGAAACAAAAACAGACATGACATCTGTGCAATGGTTTTTATCATCATTATGAGACATCATCATTTCTGTAACTGATTTAGAGACTGAGTTAGTAAACACATCAAATTCAGGATCTTGTTTCAACTACAACTTACTGTGGCAGGTCACCCAAATTCTGTGTGTACTTTTATTTTCCTATTAGGTATTACCATTTATCTACATCTATTCAATATGTATGTTTTGAAGAGGGTAAGCAAACATTAGTTACAAAGCATCTCTAGAGAGTGACTATATATAAAAATAACACAAGATACAGCTATGGAAATTAAACTGGTAAGTCACTAAGATGAATTCTTTTACTTACACAGGCGACATTTGATTAACTGTGACAGTTAAAGTTTACAAACTTACTATGGCGAAAAAAGATTTGATACTTTCAAAAGGAATGATCAATACTAAAATGCTCAGTGAGGACAAGTTAATTTCTTTAGTGTAATAATAAGATTAATACATAAATAGCATAATAAACAAACACAAAGTTAGTCAGTGAAAATTCACTTCGGCAAGAGCAGTATGTCTTCAAAATATTTAAAAACAGATACAGCAAGACATCAAAGGAAAAGCTTTGCAGCGCAATGAGTGATTATTTGAGCAAAACAAAACCTAGCTGGTAAAACATCAGAGTTCATGTTGAAGGTATAGAAACCAATTCAGAGGCCTCAAAGAATTTTCCAAAAAGTTAGCTAAAATCATCATAAGGAGTATAGATCATATGCCATATTTAAAGCAGATAATTTGACAAATTTCTGGAACAGACAGAAAGCAGATGAGACTACACAGATGGATAAACCATAACAGGGAAATCCATAACCTAAAATCTTAAAGAAAACTGCATCAGAGGTGGGAGCTGCTGCCCCCAGTGGAGCTCTGGGGAGAGACTGCGAGCACAAAGCTGGCAGGTACAGAAATCAAGAAGGCTGTGGGGCGGCTAGGCTGGCCAACCTTCCCTCCTCTCCCCCCACTCACAGACGAGAGAGTACACCTCCTGTGGGACCTAGAATTCTTCACCCAATCAAGTGAGAGGTAAACAAAAACAAAGATATTTTCAGAGAGCATTGGCTCTGAAATTTTACTTCTCTCGCATCCTTTCTGAATAAAGTCCTGCAGCAAAATGAAAAAAGAAACCAAGAAAGACAAAGAAAAAGGATCAGCCGTCATCACTAGGAGCTGACAGGCACTATCTAAAATTGAAAAATCCAACCTTAGGGATTTAAATACACGAGATGAATGGGAATAATTTCTAGAGGAACTGAAAACAGTAACTGTGGTTTTCCTGAGGAAGGGGTCAGAGATGGGGGAAAGAAGATGTTACGGGTTGAACTGTATTCCCCAAAAGATATGTTGAAGTACTAAATCTCAGAACATGTAAATGTAACGTTATTTGGAAATAAGAGCCTTTTGCAGATGTAATCAAGTTAAGATGAAGTCATTGGGGGGGGACCCTAATCCAATATGACTGGTGTCCTCATAAAAAGAGAAGTGACACAGAAACAGGGAGAGAGAGAAGGCCATGTGAAAATGGAGGCAGAGACTGGAGTTACGCTGCCACAAGCCAAGGAACGCCTGGGGCCACCAGGAACTAGAGGAGGCATGAAAAGATTCTCGCCTAGAGGCTATGGAGAGAGCATGGCCAACACCTTGATTTGGGACTTCTAGTCTCCAGAACCGGGAGGATAAATTTCTGTTGTTTTTTAGCCACTCAGTTTGAGGTACTTTCTTATGGTAGCCCTAGGAAACTAATACAGGAGACTTGCACTTTTTAGTTTTTAAATCTTTTAAAAAAACTATATGCGTGTCTTTTATAATTTAAGAAGTATTAAAAACTACATCATAAAGCCTTCCATTCCCAAATTTATTACTCAGACCTGGAGAGGCATTCATGCAGATATAGGCAATGAATAATTTCAGGACAGATGTCTCTAATTTTCAGTGGTGTTTGAAGATTCTTAGAGCAATGAAAATGCCTATACTTGCCAGAGATATTTCTAGGAATAAAAACCCAATATTAGCATTTTGCTTTTAGAAACAACCATTCCTTTTACAGTGGTTTGATGAGTAATAGGTTACTGGATAACAGAAGTAAATCACAAGTTACCCATATCTTTCTTTTATATTTTAAATAAACCTCATATGACTTATTTTCTGTAAGAGCCAACTATTCAAAAACTATAATGGGTTCAATACTAAAAGAACACTACAGTAATTTGGAGGGGATAAAACTCAGGCCTATGTAGATCTATATGGAAACCTATTCAATAAAGGAATCACTCCAGAAAGGCAAAAGATCATATTACCCTACTTTGCCAAGAGTTGACTTTGAGAGCTGTCTCATAATGACGTTACATTATATAATGATTTCTTTCAGAGATGTATTTTCCAATTGAGGGCAGGGTAGGGAGGAGAGAAGGGGGAGACAGATGAGGAGGCAGACAGGTAAGGCAGCACATTCTCAAAATAAAATGAATTCAAAGCAATCATACAAAGTTAACAAGAACCTCTGCTCTAGTAACATGACCAACTTCTTCTTCCTCTCTCTCAACATCTGCCTATTCTGTGCTCTATTCTCCCTAATAGACTACTTTGGTTAAGGATAGGTGTAGTGTCTCATCTTTGTATCCCACCCCTTGGGCAATATCTTGCAAATATGGATATTTAATAATTTCTTGTCAAACAGAATATAATGTCTGTGAGAGTATCCCAGAAGGACAAGAATGGTAGGAGACCTGGAAACCTTATCACATGGAAGATATTTAAATGAGCTATAGATGGTTCTTCAGGAGAAAAGAAAACTAAAGTATGAATAGTTATCAGTAAAAAGTTCAAGGAAGCTTAACATAAAGTAGAGCTTTCTTAAAACTAGAACTACCCAAAACCTGAATAGGATGTTTCACTTAATAACAGAAGTCAATATTCTCTTCTTGCTATACTGGACTGCCTAAAGGAACTTCTATAAGGAAAAGTATGGTCTACCTCAATGGGTCCTAAATATTATTGCACATCAGAATTACCTGGGGTGCTGGCCCCTCTCCAAACCTGTGAATCACGCTCTGTGGAATGGGGCCTAGAAGTCTGAACTTATAAAAAAACATCTCAGGCATTTCTAATGCAACTAGTTAGGAACTAATTCTCTGTATCACTGGCCCAGGTGACATCCAAATCCTTTAAAAGCACATCGTTTTACAAATGTAATCTGATAATTAAAGTGTCAATGTTTGGTGCTAAAGGAGCGAGCTGAATCTATCAAGATGAAAATTAATGGTGATGAACACTAAAGCCCTGAAACTGGAGTTAAACACCAGCCACACAAATGTGCAATGAGAGAGCCTGAGTTGTGACCCTTTAGGTTTAAAAATAAAACAGGCTTAGTGGTTTTAGTCAAAAGCAAGAGTAAAGGAAGGAGTGTGAGGTCTGAATGCAAATACCTGGATTCAAAAACTAACTCCACCACAATTAACTGTGTTTTTGAGCACATGACTTCATCTCTGAGCCTTAATATGCTCATCTCTAAAATGAGGATCTCACCAAGCTCACAAAGTTGCTGAGGGGTCAAAGTGAAAGCTTTGAGAGACTTTTTACATTATCAAGCAACAATCTGAAGAGATCAAATAATGAAAAAGTCAGTGGTTATAAATAAGGATCCAGGTATAAGATAAAGCTGCTAGTACTGATGACAGTTTGAAAATGTACAAAGACTTTCTAGGGCTTTTAACTATAAAAAACCGGACACTCCCATTTCAGAGAGCATATGGACTCCACTTGTTTGTTACTAATAACCAAACGATACTAATGAATTTTAAATTTTTTTGCTGTAGTAATCATGTAATTTCCATGATTCCTTTCAAATAACTGTTCACATTCTATCCCTTCTTTTTATACTAGAAAAACAAAAGAGTTTTGAAAGGCACTTCACTTAAAAATGAAAAACCTTAACTCATAGCGAGATACACCAAGCCATAAGCTTACATAAAGTATACCTGAATGAAAATGTCAACATATAACAAGCTATTGAATATTGTAAAATTTTCACAATTACTAAAAAATCCATTTTATATTTGCAGAGATTAACATTACTCACAGGTCTTTCATTAGGATCAATGAAAAATATTTTGATGATTATTTCGAATTCACCCCAACCTGTTTCAGTAATTTCATATGGAGGCTTAGTAACAACTAAAAGAAAGAAAAAAATAAAACAATTATAAATTGTAAATTACTGATACAGTTTCCTAGCTCTTTTAAAATTTATAACATTATGAATTTTAAAAAACTATTGTACCTCTTAAAGGATTGCCATAGCTTTCATGTAATTTAAATTGGATTTTCTTCACATATGCTGACATATCCTAAAATACAGAGGCATTAATTAGTTCTGTCATCTACACATAACAATTAGGAAGGAAATACACAGAGCACCTGTGCCAATTTTATAAAATACACTTCCCCTTAAATTTTATGGAAACGAATTTTCTAAGAAACATGAATTATACCCTGGAGGTTTGTTTTTAATTTTAAACAAAGGAAGGCTGTGCAGAATTCTTTCAAAATTCATAATATATAGAAATATATATGTCCCTAATTCATTGTTTTGCATTCCTATTTTTATATATCTCTGTAGACAATACTCAAAATCAATTTTGATTTTTCCATAAAACAACAGTACATTTCCAATATTTTCTACAGAAATAAACATATACACCAAAGCAAATCTAAGAACTAACTTCAAAAAACTTCAAAACACAACTTCAAAAAACAAAATTATATTATACAAAGGTCAACTAAGCTAAGCAACCTAAAACTGTTGGATAAAAACTCTTCCTTTCCTTAATTATATTTTGAAGCACAAAAGCATATTCATTAGTTCCGGCACACAAAAGGGATCCTGCTAGCGAAGGAGGCCTTTTCTAAAATAATTCATTATAGAAAAACAGGAAAATGCAAAACAGAGTAAGTTGCATTCAACAGTAATGTTCATTAATCTTTTTATTTGCTTTCAGGAATTTTTATGTGCTTATTATCTACATATTTTTTTAACTGGGATCCTACTGTAATAATATATTACTATCTGCCTTCATCACTTAACATTATTTTGTGAACATTTTTTCTGAGGCAGATTTTCATAAGCCTCTTTGAAGACTATTTTGGGAATACTTTCATTCATTTTTTCTACAAATAGGAGTGACTACCAATACTGTTAGATGCTATAATGATAAATAACAGAATCTTGTCCTCAGGGTCTCACTGTAAAGTGGGGGGCAGACAAGAAAATCAGCATTTCAATGCTGTAATCTGTAATCTGTTGTGTGCATATTAGGTCATGTGTTATGAGGACATTAGGTACAAATCCATAGGAAAGGCAGCTATTTTAGTCTTTGGAGATCAAGAAAGTAGATCTAAAGAAAATACACTTGAACTAAGACCTAAGGGAACAATAAGAATGGAGTGGGTGGGAAGAAAGGAAGAGGTTTAAGAGTGTTCCTTTGGGAAACTGAGAGTAATTTAGTATTGGTAAAATGTAGGATATAAAGAAATGAGGCAAACACAGACAAGGGACAAGGCTGCAGAGACAGGATAGGGAAAGGTCATGGCAGGCCTTCTAAACATGACAGCTTTATGATGAGGGCAATAGGTAGTCACTGAAGGTGGTTTTGTTTTTTTGTTTTTAACAGCTCTATTGAGATATTAACATACTACACAAATCACCCATTTAAAGTTCACCATTCAATGGTTTTTAATATATTCAGAGTTGTACAACTATCACCACAATCAATTTGAGAACATTCTATCACACAAAAGGAAACCTCATACCCATTCTTCCTCCCACTCGCTGTCAACCACTAATCTAGGTTCTATGTCTATGGATTTGCCTATTATGCACATTTTATAAAAATGGAATTATACAGTATGTGGCTTTTGTGTTTGGCTTCTTTCACTTGCCATGTTTTCTAATTTATTCCATGTGTTAGTAGCATGTATCAATACTTTATTTTATTCCTTAATAATATTCCACTATATGGATACACTACATTTTATTTATCCATTCATCAGTTTAGAGACATTTGGACTATTATGAATAATGTCACCACAAACATTCATATACAAGTTTTTGTGTGGACTTTGAAGGTTTTTTTTCCTTCGTCTTTTAATTTTATTTAATAGAGAATAGTATAAATGCTGAAGAAAAAACATTATCAAGCTTAATTGGTTTCAACATGTATTAACTCAGCCTTTTGGTGGAATATATGAAGAAAAAAAGAACTCAAAAGTCAAGTGCCTTATTCTTTGTCCTTGAAATTAAGATAACTTTGGGTTGCATCACTACTTGATGTCCTGTAGATTTCAGCTCAAGACCTCTACATTCAAGTGGTCACCTTTAAATTGTGGCTACAGCTGCACTGAGTTCAGTTACTGTAAACTGTCCTACATGGCAGTTTAATGTGTGGCATATTCCCCTTCTTTCGATTTACCTCTAAATTTATCATCTCTTAATTTATTAAATGTGACTGAACATACTGTGGGGTACATGGGAAGAAAAGAGTATTCAGCATTGGAAGTAATTTTGAATGATAAGTCAGCATTTCTACCCTTAAAATTGACACTATAAAGTTATTTTGAATAATTATTCAATTTATTTTAAAAATGTGACCCTTGATAAAGTAAAAGTATGTCCAAAATTCTAGTCTCTTACAGGTGGTAAAATATAATTCAAAGTGTTTGAAGCAGACTACCTTTATCATCATCAAGCTGTGAATCTACCCTTGGGCTATTTGGCACCATTTTCATCTTTTCAGAGGTAACAACTCTTGGTGACATCTCTAACTGCTTTTTCAGATGTTTCTGAAAGGTGACGAATGATTACAATGATAACATAAATTCTCACCTGCCTTCTTGCTTCCACTATATTGGAACAATGATATTTGAAATACAGAATGAAGGGTTTTAAATAGAGGAATAGTTTATTCATTCAGTAAGTATCTGTTGAATACCCACTATGTACTTACTGCATTCCAGGCATTAGAGATTCAGTAGCAAAACCAAATTACCAGCAGCTAGATTATGTAGCAGTTTGTCTTTCATCTTTTCTGATGGTCTGATTACCAAATTATCACTTAAATTTACTATTCCTGAAATACCTGATTATATACTAGGCTACCTTAAGGTGTGGTGATTGGAAGACGTACTGTGCATATAGCATAGTTCTTTTTACCGTAACTTAATTTTAATTAGAAAACATTTTTGGAAAGTTGATTCTACTAACAATTATAGAAAGATGACAGCTCTTACTTTATTCTTTCAACTTTTTTGGTAACATTTCTACAGTGGGCCAATTTTATTATCAGTTACTATACAATATTACAATTTAACTCTGAGCAAAAAAAACTATAGCTTCAAAAAAGTTTTAGGAAAAACAATTACCTACCTCATTTCTATATGGTTTTACATAGACTGTCCACTGATGGGTGTGCCCATCCTCTTCTCTTTTCTTTCCAAAATATCGAGCAACATTACCATAAACTATTGGTTTAACGATTGTAACCCCCTACAAGAAAACAATTTCAACACCAGTTAACACTGTATTAGGCTTCCCTGGTGGCTCAGTGGTTAAGAATCCGCCTGCCAATACAGGGGACACGGGTTCGAGCCCTAGTCCGGGAAGATCCCACGGGCCGTGGAGCAACTAAGCCCGTGCGCCACAACTACTGAGCCTGCGCTCTAGAGCCCGCGAGCCACAACTACTGAAGTCCATGCACCTAGAGCCCGTGCTCTTCAACAAGAGAAGCCACCGCAATGAGAAGCCTGCGCACCACGACGAAGAGTAGCCCCCGCTCGCCGCAACTAGAGAAAGCCCGTGTGCAGCAACGAAGACCCAACGCAGCCGAAAATAAATAAATAAATAAATTTATTAAAAAAAAAACCACATTGTATTATTACCCAAATAAACAGAATTAGAACTCTGAAAGCTTGTTTTAAGAAATGGCAGGCAGTCTAACAACCTAGAGTTTGCTTATAACATGGATTTCCCTCAACAAATAATTTCCAGACAATTAGCCTCATTTCATAATACCACAAATAACTAAACACCACATTAATTACAATGTTCTCACTTTGAAAACGTGTATTTAAATCATGTGGAGTACTTTGAGAGTTCCTTTTTTTCTTTCTCTCTCTCTTTTTTTTAAAAAGAAACAGAAAAAGCTCTATTTACAAACTTTAAAGAGCAGTCTGGAATAACGCTCACCAACTTTACCATCACCTGATGGTAACGTCCTTATCAGCTTACACCAGGGTTCTCCAAAGCACAGTACAAAAATTAAAGACAGTTTGGAAGGGGATTTTAGGTAGAATAAGGGCAAACATTTTCATTTTATTACTTGTGTTTAATCTGTATTAGAAAAACCATAACTATAACTAGCAATTCAAACCCACAATTTCAAAAATAGTAATGCTTAGGAAGGGACTTTAAAAAATTGATTTAAACAAAAATGTTAAACACTACATTTCGATTCAGATAATGGCAAAGAGGCACTTGGACGACTCAAGCTCGGTAATCCCTGGACTGATGGCATGTGTGCTGTATTTGTGTTCAGTTCTGAGATGTACATACATGTTTCTCATCACATCCGGTTAAGTGTAAAGGCAGATTACGATGAAAAGGAGATAGAAAAAATTCCAAGTGAAGAAAATTACTGAATGTTGCACATGAATTTGAGACCAATTGTTCAATAGTAAGACTGTATCTGAAGGTCAAAGAGCAAGATATATCACATGTGAAAAGTGCTGTGCCAATGTAATCAACAATTAATAAGAAATGAGGAAAAGCAGTGAACAAATGGAAAAACTTTTCATTGTGACTAGATAATTCACAAATAAAACCAATACCTATTAGCCTAAAGTTAGTTCAGGAGAAGGCAAGTGGTTTGTACACAAACTTAAAAAAAAAAAAATCACAGCAAGTGTCCTTTGGTGGTACCCAAAGATGGGGCCTCACATTCAAGGCCCGAATGAATAAGTACAAGGAGCGTTGACATGGTGAGGGATAATAGATCCTGAACTGCTACAATGTTGCTAGGAACTTGGGGAGTTCCTCAATGATGAAAAGCGGGTTCATCTGCCAAAAGACTTTCTACCTGGATCAAATTTATCTAAATTGGGAAAAGATGCTTACAAGACCACATAACAATCAGCATGGAGAAGAAATAAGTCCCTAATTTTAAAGTTTTACATGACTAACTCGGACCCATTTTCGGTGGAAAAGCATTTGAGGACTACAGGCCTAATCTCAAGTGATTCTGGACTTAAAAGACTTTTAGAACCTAACATGATTACAAGTAGAGAGAGTTCTGTAAGTTCTTCTCCAAAAGCTAGTGTTCTAAACCTTTGTTCAGTAGTACTTTCTTATTATTCCAAAACCTCGCCCAAAAGTGAGGGAAAATGTATGTTTATGAACCTTATGGTACTATGAATTTTACCTGGCATCTGTTTCCCCCTTCCATTAAATTTCAGTAGCTTTTGAAACTTTCAAAGCACTGTGTATGACAATTGTATATTCAGTATAAAATTATGTGAAAACAATATGACATACAGAAGGACTCAAAAAAAAAAAAACCTAGATCAACTAGACTGGTGCAAAAGTGGGTGATTTCTTTTATAAAAAATTTTCCTTTCTGCGGTAAATAAAAATCCGAAGGGGTAAAAATAGGTGTTATATCAGGAACCAGTTGGTTGTCTCATAAAAAATTAATGTGCCAGGGGATGTAGTAAAGTGAGTGGGAAATGTGTCACAGTGTCATACATTACGTTAGGCTCTATGATCACTTTAATTAAAAACTAAGAAGTTACCGTGTACTGAATGTTCCCTATGTGCCAGGCAGTGTTATGTTCTTTGCATGCCTTGATTAGTATCTTGGCTGTAGCCTTGGGACTTTAGGAACACCATGAACTTGGGGAAGTCTTCTGAACTTTTCTAGTTGTAAATACTGGGAGTGATACTGCCTTTGTAGGGACTGAATCAGAGAATCGGGTAAAGCGTCCACCCACTGTGCTTACTTCGCACGGTATCTGCTACTGTTATTATCCTCACAATAGGTGGGTACTGCCCTCCCCACCGCCTTTTTACAGGTGACCTGGGTTGGCAGAGGATGAGCAGCAAGCCAGGATCTCCCCGCCCCGCAAGTGGCTTTTTCCTCAGCAACAATGTCCGGCTCTCCCCCAGGCACCACCGATTATGTTTGTTTTTCGTCTGGGATGGAAGGGAGGCGGTGACACATGAAGTTGGGGCCAAATGAAATCATGATTTTCCCTCTGGGGCTTTGACTCGCCGTCCGCCTGGAAACCGCGGCTCCCGCCCGAGGAGAAAAGGCGCGAGAAGAAACAGGCAGGCCCTCCCCAGGCCGCGCCACGAGGGGCCGGAGCGAGAGAGCCACTCCCGGAGGGGAGGCGCGGGGCGGGCACTGACCTTCACTCTCCCGCCGGAGTCAGGCCCAAATTCGGCCATTCTCTTGAACATATTGTCCTACGGAAGAAGCCGCCGCCGCCAGGGAAAGAGACCGGGGCCGGCGGACTCGCCGCTCCGCTCAGAGGCCCCGCTCCTCCCGCGCGGGCCCAGGAGGAGGGTTTCCGGCCGAAGGAGGACGAGTCAGCTGAGCTCGGGGTGCTGAGGGATCGCCAACGCCTCACAGGGGAGGGCGTCGCGGAAGCCCACTCACCCCCGCGCGGTTGGAGAGCGGGCCGGGAAAGGTGGCAACGGCGACGTTTTGTGCGCAGGCGCGACGAGCTCGCGCACACTGCGCACGCGCCGAGCCGCTGCCTTTAGGCGAATGAAGACCGGTCTTGGTTGCCAGTGCCTGTCGACAAGCCAGACCGCCCGGCTTCGTAATGACCGAGAAACTGTCTTTTGGAGGTAATACCTTGCCATCGCCAAAGCATGACAGTTCTGAAATTAAGTTCATGAAATCTCGCCCACCGACAGCTTTTCGTTGTGTTCATCCAGACGTCCTCAGACTTTCAGGCTTGAACCGCTAATTTCTTTTTTTATTTACTCCCTTCTTCCTCTCCTTCCTTCCTTTCTACTCATTTTGGATTCTCAGGTCCATAACGTGACGCAAACCTCCCCTCCCTTGCCCTTCTGTGGTACTAACTACTTTGCAGGTTAGTGCAGTGCTAAATGAATGACCTCCAATTTAATTGAAATATGAGGTGCTAGTCAGAGGTTCGCTCTCCCTTTTCTTCTGTTTTAAACTGGAAGCTATTCTATTTCCCTAATCTCTTGACACCAACCCTCTCATTCTGATCAGGTGACTTTGCATCTTATTTCAACAGAGAAAACGGACCTCCATGCCACCAGACCTGAACACAAGCTTTGGTTTGCCCAATATCCACCCTCCCTTCCTTTCTTCTCTTCTGTTCAAGAGAGAATCGGCTCCCAGTTTATTTATTTATTTATTTGGGTGAAGTAGGAAAGAATAGCTTTATTGCTTTGCTAGGCAAAGGGACACAGCGGGCTCGTGCCCTCAAAACTGTGTCTGTCTTCCAGTTTAAAATCAGTCCTTCAGTCAGTGTTCTTGATCTCATTCATTTTCACTTTATTGAGGATTTTGCCCCATCAACCGTCTCCATTCTGCCCTGTACCTCCAACTTTTCTTCTTAGGCTTTTTCCTTTAAGAAGAGTTAAACAAACTTTAATCTTTCCTGTTAAAAACCAACCAAACACATATGTAATCCTGCAAAACACTCTGTTTTATCTTTCAAAGTCAAATTTGAACCTGAATTTCATTCACCTTCACAGAAACCTCTCTGACCAGTTACTGACTTTATCAGTAAATCCAACATCCACTTTTAACGCCCTTAGCTTCTTGGCAGGATTTGACTCTGCTATCTACTGCCTCCTTTTATAAAATACATTCTCTTGGTTTTTCTCCTATCTCTCTGGCAGCTGATTTCCGGGTGGTTTATAGTCACACTGTCCTTTCTGTTTCCATGGTGCCTAAGGGATTGAAACACTTAACAAGTTTATATATGAGTTATTTGTGAACTCCACAAGGGTAGTAATCGTATCTTATACCCCTTAATGTTCTTAGGCCCTAGTAAACATTTCTAGTCATCAATGTTTGTTGACTAGTAAATAAATGAAAAATGGAGAAGTTAAGAAGACTTGAGGCTCTTTTTCCAAAGGTGGTTGAAATCAGTGAGATCTGTTAAAGTCCGCTGTCATACAACATCCTTCATACCACAGTATAGGATTGTTTGTCCCCTGTGAAACAGGAGTGCAGGGGGCAGGGCACAACCTTTGAAAGAATGACATGACATAAACTGATTAGAACCAAATGGATCCAAGATGGCAGACAAGTCGACTTCCACTAGACCTTGAGCCTCAGTATACACTCACTGTAACTCATCAGCAAGCTAAATGACACACCCACAGGCACCATGACTGTTCCAAGGCCAACCATAAGGATCAAAAAGTGGGCAGTGGCCCAATTCTGGAAATCCCCGCCCCTTCCTCAAATAGCTGGAATACTCCTGTCACTTATTAGCCTATGAAATTACCCACCCCTATAAAAACTGACAAGCCCAAACCCTGGTGCTGCTCTTGCCTTCTGAGATGGCCCACACTCTGTCTGTGGAGTGTGTTTCTCTCTAAATAAATCCCCTATTTACCTATCGCTTTGTCTTTCACTAAATTCTTTCTGCCATGAGACCTCAAGAACCAGGTGTGTGATCTCAGTTGGAAGACCGTGGGTTTTGGCCGGGTTTGAGTCCCAGTCGCGTGGGTTCAAGTCCTAATCTGGGTTTAGGCTGGGTTCAAGTCCCAATGTGAGGTGCAGTTTCACCTGTACCCTCTCCTCCATTTCCGCTTTCAGAACATGATCTCTGGAGCACAAATTTGCCCTTTGTAATTATTTCTCCAGCTTTCGTATTTCTGCTTTCCCCCTGTTTCTCAACGAATTTTTTAATTCTTTGCCCGAAGTGTTACCCTAAGTTTTTTTTTAATGAATTTATTCATTTTATTTGTTTATTTTTAGCTGTGTTGGGTCTTTGTTGCTGTGCACAGGCTTTCTCTAGCTGTGGCAAGCGGGGGCTAGTCTCCCTTACGTGGGCTTCTCATTGCCGTGGCTTCTCTTGTTGCGGAACATAGGCTCTAGGCATAAAGGCTTCAGTAGTTGTGGCACGCAGTTTCACTAGTTGTGGCACACGGGCTTAGTTGCTCCACAGCACGTGGGATCTTCCTGGACCAGGGCTCGAACCCGTGGCGGATGGGCAGGCGGATTCTTAACCACTGCACCACCAGGGAAACCTAACCCTAAGTATTTTTAAAGCAAAATAACATTTTAACATTTAATAAAATGAAATTAATACGTTAAAACACATTGGGAACTTTGAGGGAAAGATAGCAGATTGAACACACATCTTTTGCTTCCTTTCAAAACTCCTTTGAAATAAGTAAAGAGATTTTCAAAAAGGCATAAACCTTTTAGAAAGGGTGGGGAGAATGGGAGAGAAGGCAGAAAGAAAATCTTGAAACTTGGAATACAAAAGGCAAGTGGTATACAGCAGTCCTAAGAGCTGAGTAGTCAGAGACAATAAGCTATTCAGTTCACACTGCAGAAACCCCCCGAATCTCAAGAATTTGTGGTTGTAGGGGTCTCTGGAAATAAGGGAAGGGAGGAGGAGGAGAAGAGCTAGCAAAAAAAGACTGGTTGAGATTCTGTTTAAGAAATATTCAGGTCCTTACAGCCCAGCAATTACCCCTTACTTATCCCCAAGGGATAGAACAATGGTAAAGCAGGGTCTCTGCATTGAGGATCACCAGACAGAATTGAGGGAGGAATACCCTACAGAAAATAGGTAGATTAGCCAAACACATGCCGGGTACTAAGACCTTCATCGCACTTAACTCTTAAAATACTGGCAGCCAGACTTTTTTTTTTTTTCCTAGTAGAGAACAGGGATAGGCTTCTCTGAGGAATGTGACCAGTCTAAGAGGAGAGATCTAAGGACCCCCAATGAAACTGATTCAACCAACTTGGTCATCCTTCAGTGAAGTACACATGGTCAAATCCACATAGGCCCTTGGAACTTCAAATTACTTTTTTAGTTCCCCAATCCTAAATATAAGTAGATAACCAAGAATTACCAAATAACAGAGAAATGCCTCTAGTATGAAAGATATAATCCAAAGTAAACAAGCAAAATGGCAGATTAGAGGAAATATGGAGAAGTCAACTAAAACCAAAACAAACCCAAAGTATTATTATTACTATATCCAGATAAAATAAGAAATAGCAAACGTGACACAAAACAAGGAGACAAAAGAATATATATTCAGAGAACGAAAAACAGCTGTTGGAAATTAAAACTGTGATAGCAGAAATGAAAAAACTTGGAGAAAGATGAGACTGATGAAATTCTAGCTCTGTCTGAAGACCTGAGAGGAGATTTAAATAGAAGACCTAGATAGCAGTGGGGATTTAGAGGTACAAACTACTATGTATAAAATAAATAAGCTGGGAATTCCCTGGCAGTCCAGTGGTTCCGACTCTGTGTTTCCACTGCAGGGGGCACAGGTTCCATCCCTGGCAGGGGAACTAAGGTCCTGCAAGCCGTGCAGTGTGGCCTAAATAAATAAGCTACAAGGATATATTGTACAATACAGGGAACATAGTTAATATTTTATAATAACTATAAATAAAATATAACCTTTAAAAATTGTGAATCACTATGGTGTACACCTGAAACATATAATATTGTACATCAACTATACCTCAATAAAGAAAAAAAAGACCTAGAGTTTGGGAATTGAACTAATGATAGAAACAAAGAAAGCTAAGCCAATTTAAAAATCATGCAGGTATTAGCTCTAGGGAAAATAAACTCTTGCATAAGAGAAGAAAGTAATTGTATTTATGGCTATGTAAATACTGAGTATTGATCTAAAAATATATATGTAATTACACTGGAAGGATGGGTTTTAGGGAAAGGTGCCATGTATGATAGAGATGGAGGAGAAAATAGAACTTAATCCTTAACTTGCATAGTGGGAATCAATATCTTAAAATGGAAAAATCCAGAAGGAGCAATACAAGCCTAATACTTAAAAGCATGGGAGTAAATATAAAATTCTTTTTTTTTTTGGTCATGCCACACAGCTTGTGGGATCTCAGTTCCCCAATCAGGGATTGAACCCGGGCCACAGCAGTGAAAGTGCCAAATCCTAACCATTTGGAACTCCCTAAAATTCTTAACATTAAGCTAAAAGAGTAGAAAATTGTGCATGTGAAGGGGGAGTTACATCTTTCAAAACAAACCTTGTAGAACTATCTGACTCTAAACATTGAGAATTTATAACCTTGTTAAAATTTAAAATGATTCCAAATATAATTTGCATAAAAGACGTGCATTTAATTGAAAAACACTATGTCTATGACATTAGTCACTCATGGTTGTAACTTTCAGTAATTCCCTTTAGCAACTTCTAAGAAAATATTTTTTAAATAAGTCCGCTATATACAAGTGCAAGAAATGTGCTCAGGGCTTAGTTACAATTAGTGCTACATGAAGAGCCCCGTTATCATCTGGAGTATCACTCTGCATTTCAAATAATATCCTGAGGTGAAACTAAGCAACATAGGAATTGAATTTCTTTTAAAAATGGTCAAACTTTGATATTGATTTTTTACTTCATTCTCAGAATAAGCGTTGAAATTTGGTTTGGGAACTTGATTGTATTAATATAACAGGTATAAGT